TGTGAGCGGGATAGAGGATTGAGTCGACTCGCAAGGTTCGTGGCCGTGGTGTGTGCGGGAGTCAAGTCCGTGCTCGATATTCCGCGCACTCTTGAATACCTGGTGAGTGGTGTGAGCGGGATAGAGGATTGAGTCGACTCGCAAGGTTCGTGGCCGTGGTGTGTGCGGGAGTCAAGTCCGTGCTCGATATTCCGCGCACTCTTGAATACCTGGTGAGTGGTGTGAGCGGGATAGAGGATTGAGTCGACTCGCAAGGTTCGTGGCCGTGGTGTGTGCGGGAGTCAAGTCCGTGCTCGATATTCCGCGCACTCTTGAATACCTGGTGAGTGGTGTGAGCGGGATAGAGGATTGAGTCGACTCGCAAGGTTCGTGGCCGTGGTGTGTGCGGGAGTCAAGTCCGTGCTCGATATTCCGCGCACTCTTGAATACCTGGTGAGTGGTGTGAGCGGGATAGAGGATTGAGTCGACTCGCAAGGTTCGTGGCCGTGGTGTGTGCGGGATTCAAGTCCGTGCTCGATATTCCGCGCAGTCTTGAATACCTGGTGAGTGGTGTGAGCGGGATAGAGGATTGAGTCGATTCGCAAGGTTCGTGGCCGTGGTGTGTGCGGGAGTCAAGTCCGTGCTCGATATTCCGCGCACTCTTGAATACCTGGTGAGTGGTGTGAGCGGGATAGAGGATTGAGTCGACTCGCAAGGTTCGTGGCCGTGGTGTGTGCGGGAGTCAAGTCCGTGCTCGATATTCCGCGCACTCTTGAATACCTGGTGAGTGGTGTGAGCGGGATAGAGGATTGAGTCGACTCGCAAGGTTCGTGGCCGTGGTGTGTGCGGGAGTCAAGTCCGTGCTCGATATTCCGCGCACTCTTGAATACCTGGTGAGTGGTGTGAGCGGGATAGAGGATTGAGTCGACTCGCAAGGTTCGTGGCCGTGGTGTGTGCGGGAGTCAAGTCCGTGCTCGATATTCCGCGCACTCTTGAATACCTGGTGAGTGGTGTGAGCGGGATAGAGGATTGAGTCGACTCGCAAGGTTCGTGGCCGTGGTGTGTGCGGGAGTCAAGTCCGTGCTCGATATTCCGCGCACTCTTGAATACCTGGTGAGTGGTGTGAGCGGGATAGAGGATTGAGTCGACTCGCAAGGTTCGTGGCCGTGGTGTGTGCGGGAGTCAAGTCCGTGCTCGATATTCCGCGCACTCTTGAATACCTGGTGAGTGGTGTGAGCGGGATAGAGGATTGAGTCGACTCGCAAGGTTCGTGGCCGTGGTGTGTGCGGGAGTCAAGTCCGTGCTCGATATTCCGCGCACTCTTGAATACCTGGTGAGTGGTGTGAGCGGGATAGAGGATTGAGTCGACTCGCAAGGTTCGTGGCCGTGGTGTTTGCGGGAGTCAAGTCCGTGCTCGATATTCCGCGCACTCTTGAATACCTGGTGAGTGGTGTGAGCGGGATAGAGGATTGAGTCGACTCGCAAGGTTCGTGGCCGTGGTGTGTGCGGGAGTCAAGTCCGTGCTCGATATTCCGCGCACTCTTGAATACCTGGTGAGTGGTGTGAGCGGGATAGAGGATTGAGTCGACTCGCAAGGTTCGTGGCCGTGGTGTGTGCGGGAGTCAAGTCCGTGCTCGATATTCCGCGCACTCTTGAATACCTGGTGAGTGGTGTGAGCGGGATAGAGGATTGAGTCGACTCGCAAGGTTCGTGGCCGTGGTGTGTGCGGGAGTCAAGTCCGTGCTCGATATTCCGCGCACTCTTGAATACCTGGTGAGTGGTGTGAGCGGGATAGAGGATTGAGTCGACTCGCAAGGTTCGTGGCCGTGGTGTGTGCGGGAGTCAAGTCCGTGCTCGATATTCCGCGCACTCTTGAATACCTGGTGAGTGGTGTGAGCGGGATAGAGGATTGAGTCGACTCGCAAGGTTCGTGGCCGTGGTGTGTGCGGGAGTCAAGTCCGTGCTCGATATTCCGCGCACTCTTGAATACCTGGTGAGTGGTGTGAGCGGGATAGAGGATTGAGTCGACTCGCAAGGTTCGTGGCCGTGGTGTGTGCGGGAGTCAAGTCCGTGCTCGATATTCCGCGCACTCTTGAATACCTGGTGAGTGGTGTGAGCGGGATAGAGGATTGAGTCGACTCGCAAGGTTCGTGGCCGTGGTGTGTGCGGGAGTCAAGTCCGTGCTCGATATTCCGCGCAGTCTTGAATACCTGGTGAGTGGTGTGAGCGGGATAGAGGATTGAGTCGACTCGCAAGGTTCGTGGCCGTGGTGTGTGCGGGAGTCAAGTCCGTGCTCGATATTCCGCGCACTCTTGAATACCTGGTGAGTGGTGTGAGCGGGATAGAGGATTGAGTCGACTCGCAAGGTTCGTGGCCGTGGTGTGTGCGGGAGTCAAGTCCGTGCTCGATATTCCGCGCACTCTTGAATACCTGGTGAGTGGTGTGAGCGGGATAGAGGATTGAGTCGACTCGCAAGGTTCGTGGCCGTGGTGTGTGCGGGAGTCAAGTCCGTGCTCGATATTCCGCGCACTCTTGAATACCTGGTGAGTGGTGTGAGCGGGATAGAGGATTGAGTCGACTCGCAAGGTTCGTGGCCGTGGTGTGTGCGGGAGTCAAGTCCGTGCTCGATATTCCGCGCACTCTTGAATACCTGGTGAGTGGTGTGAGCGGGATAGAGGATTGAGTCGACTCGCAAGGTTCGTGGCCGTGGTGTGTGCGGGAGTCAAGTCCGTGCTCGATATTCCGCGCACTCTTGAATACCTGGTGAGTGGTGTGAGCGGGATAGAGGATTGAGTCGACTCGCAAGGTTCGTGGCCGTGGTGTGTGCGGGAGTCAAGTCCGTGCTCGATATTCCGCGCACTCTTGAATACCTGGTGAGTGGTGTGAGCGGGATAGAGGATTGAGTCGACTCGCAAGGTTCGTGGCCGTGGTGTGTGCGGGAGTCAAGTCCGTGCTCGATATTCCGCGCACTCTTGAATACCTGGTGAGTGGTGTGAGCGGGATAGAGGATTGAGTCGACTCGCAAGGTTCGTGGCCGTGGTGTGTGCGGGAGTCAAGTCCGTGCTCGATATTCCGCGCACTCTTGAATACCTGGTGAGTGGTGTGAGCGGGATAGAGGATTGAGTCGACTCGCAAGGTTCGTGGCCGTGGTGTGTGCGGGAGTCAAGTCCGTGCTCGATATTCCGCGCACTCTTGAATACCTGGTGAGTGGTGTGAGCGGGATAGAGGATTGAGTCGACTCGCAAGGTTCGTGGCCGTGGTGTGTGCGGGAGTCAAGTCCGTGCTCGATATTCCGCGCACTCTTGAATACCTGGTGAGTGGTGTGAGCGGGATAGAGGATTGAGTCGACTCGCAAGGTTCGTGGCCGTGGTGTGTGCGGGAGTCAAGTCCGTGCTCGATATTCCGCGCACTCTTGAATACCTGGTGAGTGGTGTGAGCGGGATAGAGGATTGAGTCGACTCGCAAGGTTCGTGGCCGTGGTGTGTGCGGGAGTCAAGTCCGTGCTCGATATTCCGCGCACTCTTGAATCTGGTGAGTGGTGTGAGCGGGATAGAGGATTGAGTCGACTCGCGAGGTTCGTGGCCGTGGTGTGTGCGGGAGTCAAGTCCGTGCTCGATATTCCGCGCACTCTTGAATACCTGGTGAGTGGTGTGAGCGGGATAGAGGATTGAGTCGACTCGCAAGGTTCGTGGCCGTGGTGTGTGCGGGAGTCAAGTCCGTGCTCGTTATTCCGCGCACTCTTGAATACCTGGTGAGTGGTGTGAGCGGGATAGAGGATTGAGTCGACTCGCAAGGTTCGTGGCCGTGGTGTGTGCGGGAGTCAAGTCCGTGCTCGATATTCCGCGCACTCTTGAATACCTGGTGAGTGGTGTGAGCGGGATAGAGGATTGAGTCGACTCGCAAGGTTCGTGGCCGTGGTGTGTGCGGGAGTCAAGTCCGTGCTCGATATTCCGCGCACTCTTGAATACCTGGTGAGTGGTGTGAGCGGGATAGAGGATTGAGTCGACTCGCAAGGTTCGTGGCCGTGGTGTGTGCGGGAGTCAAGTCCGTGCTCGATATTCCGCGCACTCTTGAATACCTGGTGAGTGGTGTGAGCGGGATAGAGGATTGAGTCGACTCGCAAGGTTCGTGGCCGTGGTGTGTGCGGGAGTCAAGTCCGTGCTCGATATTCCGCGCACTCTTGAATACCTGGTGAGTGGTGTGAGCGGGATAGAGGATTGAGTCGACTCGCAAGGTTCGTGGCCGTGGTGTGTGCGGGAGTCAAGTCCGTGCTCGATATTCCGCGCACTCTTGAATACCTGGTGAGTGGTGTGAGCGGGATAGAGGATTGAGTCGACTCGCAAGGTTCGTGGCCGTGGTGTGTGCGGGAGTCAAGTCCGTGCTCGATATTCCGCGCACTCTTGAATACCTGGTGAGTGGTGTGAGCGGGATAGAGGATTGAGTCGACTCGCAAGGTTCGTGGCCGTGGTGTGTGCGGGAGTCAAGTCCGTGCTCGATATTCCGCGCACTCTTGAATACCTGGTGAGTGGGTTCTTGCACCCTAGAGCACCTGCTGAGCCTTGGATTATCCGTGGCCGTGGTGTGTGTGTGTGTGTGTGTGTGTGTGTGTGTGTGTGTGTGTGTGTGTGTGTGTGTGTGTGTGCGGGGATGAAGTCATGGTGTATTCCCTCCAGTACCTGCTTTTTATCTAACTTTTGAGTCGACTCAAAGGTAATTCTCTGTGGCCGTGGTGTGTGTGTGTGTCTGTGTGTGTGTGTGTGTGTGTGTGTGTGTGTGTGTGTGTGTGCGGGGATGAAGTCAATAGTGTATTCCCTCGAGTTCCTGCTTTTCATCTGTCATAGTGTATTATCTGGCTTTCCATTCTCTCTTCTCCCGTCCTCCCCTCTCCTTCCCCATGACCCACTACAGTGGCAGTGGTGGTGTAAGGAGCCATCAAGCTCCAATTCTCATTCTTCTCGTGTCTTATTCTCAGGCTTTCAGTTTTCTCCTTAACTTTTCTCCTACCTCTCGTCCCTACACAGGAGACACAAGGGGTGACAGTGGTGGTGTATGGTGCCAAGGAGTTCCCAGCGTTCTTCACACCAACATCTGGCTGCCCTGTAAGTGCCTCTTTCCCTATCAACACATGTGGGTGGGACTAGCATAATATGAAATAGCGTTTTTTTCCAAACCAGCCTCGAAGCTCCCCACTCTCACCACCCAGTCAGTCTTTCTCCCACTGGTTCCATCTCCCTCCCACTCAACCCATCTCCCTCTCACTCAACCCATCACCCTCTTACTCAACTCGTCCTTCCCTCTCCCACCCTGCAGGCACCCGCCACTCTCAGCGACCCTGCCAGCTGTGCAGCTCTCATTGGTGTGCCCTTACACCTCACTTTTTTTTTTTTTTTTTTTTTTCTTTCTTTTTTTTTCCGTTTCGAAGCAACTCCTGTAAATACCTTGTATTCCTTTTCCGCTTCACTTCTCTTCTTGAGTCTCGGTGCACTTCCACTTCACTTGTCCATATCTCCAAGTCCCAAAGAGCTTGCCATTGCCACCTATATTCCCACCCGTTTTTCACCTTCCAGTTTCCCAATTATGACTATTCTTTGGACTTTACCCTTTCCCGTTTGTGCCATGTGCTCCCACTGCATTTCAACCCACTTACACTTGCTCTCCTCAAATTCCTTCAGACGCCAACCACCTCATGTAGCTTACGAGTGCCATGATGATAGCAGTCCCAGTGCCCCAGGGGCAGGCAGCAGAGGGGGAGGAGGTGGAGCGAGCAACGCAGAAGGCACTACCAGAAGCAGGAGCAGAGGGACCCTTTGGAGACCAACCTCTCTCTCTCTCTTGCCGTTGCCCCTCCCTCCCTCTCCAGACGCCAACCATCGAATGCACCTATCTAGCGGCATGGTGATTGCAGTGCCAGTGCCCCATGGGCAGGCAGCAGAGGCAGAGGAGGTAGAGCGAGCAACACAGCAGGCACTCACAGAAGCAGAGTGAGTGTTTTACTGGTTCGGATGAAGCTAAGTCTGACGTGCTGTCAGATGCAGCAGAGGCAGAGGAGGTGGAGCAAGCAAGCAACGCAGCAGCCACTTGCCAAAGCAGAGTGAGTGCACTACTGGGAGGGGGTGTTGATGAAGCTATGTCTCACATGCTGGCTGCAGCAGCAGTGGCAGCAGCAGGTATGCATAGTGTATAGTGTACCGCAAATTTCAGTTGTAGATCGCACATTCTCCTCTCACGGTTTTCATGCTTGTCTTCCATGTGCGAGGCATTGTGAACCAAGCCGTTTGCTTCTCAAACATTCAAATCTATCATTCTGTTCCTGTTTCTCTTCCCCCAGTTCTCCTCCTTCTCTTTCATGCCCACTCTCCACGCATCTTCACCTGAACTGCTGCCTTTCACAGGGCACAAGGTGTGAAGGGGGCACAGGTCACACCGTTCGTGCTCAAGCGAATCAAGGAGCTCACAGGAGGGGCGTCACTCACTGCAAGTATGTTTTAGCCAGATGGGTCTGTATGTGTATACATGTATCCATGGGGTGTGAAAGGGGCACACCACAGGTCACCCCATTCGTGCTCAAGCGAATCAAGGAGCTCACAGGAGGGGCGTCACTCACTGCAAGTATGTTTTAGCCAGATGGGTCTGTATGTGTATACATGTATCCATGGGGTGTGAAAGGGGCACACCACAGGTCACCCCATTCGTTCTCAAGCGAATCAAGGAGCTCACAGGAGGGGCGTCACTCACTGCAAGTATGTTTTAGCCAGATGGGTCTGTATGTGTATACATGTATCCATGGGGTGTGAAAGGGGCACACCACAGGTCACCCCATTCGTTCTCAAGCGAATCAAGGAGCTCACAGGAGGGGCGTCACTCACTGCAAGTATGTTTTAGCCAGATGGGTCTGTATGTGTATACATGTATCCATGGGGTGTGAAAGGGGCACACCACAGGTCACCCCATTCGTTCTCAAGCGAATCAAGGAGCTCACAGGAGGGGCGTCACTCACTGCAAGTATGTTTTAGCCAGATGGGTCTGTATGTGTATACATGTATCCATGGGGTGTGGAAGGGGCACACCACAGGTCACCCCATTCGTTCTCAAGCGAATCAAGGAGCTCACAGGAGGGGCGTCACTCACTGCAAGTACGTTTTAGCCAGATGGGTCTGTATGTGTATACATGTATCCATGGGGTGTGGAAGGGGCACAGGTCACACCGTTTGTGCTCAAGCGTATCAAGGAGCTGACAACAGGGTCTTCACTTGCTGCGAGTACTTGTTTGAGTCAACCCAAAAGTCAACTTGGGCGTGAAGAGGGCACGTGTCACACCGTTCGTGCTCAAGCGAATCAAGGAACAAGCAAGCGAGTTGCTCGATTTTCCGAGAGCCGTTCCCATATGCGCATGTGTTCACGACGCAGGCGCAAGTGGAAAGGGTCTTAAGGTGTCAAAGGCAGAAGTTGCGAATCATAGCTATGAACAGTGGAGGGCTCTGCTGAAGTAGATAGCTATAAGTAAGGACTAGTATGTAATAACGTATGCTAGTTGGTCATAGCATTGCTACAATAGTGAACTTAGTACTCAGTGTGTCACTACGTTCATTAAGTTTTGAGATGTCTCAAAACTAGGTCACTACGTTCATTAAGTTCACCACTCACACTGAGTACTAAGTTCACTACCGTAGAAGTGCTATGATCCCCTAGCATGAGTTATAACATAGTAGTCCTTATTTTCTGCTATCTTCTTCAGCAGAGCCCTCCACCGTTCATAGCTATAATTTGCAACTTCTGTCTTCGACACCTCAAGGGCCCTTTCCACTTGCGCCTGCGTCGTGAACACATGCGCATATGGGAACGGCTCTCGGAAAATCACGTAGAGCAACTCGTTTGCTCGTCCCGCCTCACACTGAAAGGATCTCAAGCGTTCGCTGCACTTGCTGCAAGTATGCCACTCTGTGTGCTCCAAAAATCAGAGGATGGGTATCAGAAGTATGTTCTCTGTTTTATTAATCTTTCAACTCCTACTCTCGTCCTGAAACGTATCACTTTTACTCCCCTCCCCGTCCTTGTCATCTACTTATTCTCTCTTCTTGTGCTCTTTCCTTCCTCCCCATTCGACAATTACTGCCATTGTCCCCCTCCAGACATAGCACTAGTGAAGAACAATGCCCGTGTGGGTGCCCAAATAGCACGGGCTCTCTCACAAAGGAGAATATTAGCCGTGTCGAGGTTGTAGAAAATATGTGGTGCAGCTCCATTGTGCGATGCCTTTCACGAAAAAATGCCAACATGCTTTGTTTGGTGGTTTTTTCGTCTGGGCATATCGCATGTGGATCATAAGGCTACAATTCCTGTAGGAGATGATTCATCATATGAGGGCTGTATAGCAGGCTAAAATGTAAGAACATTTTGCAGTCGCATGGGTATTTGTCATGCACCGTATGTGACATGGTAGAGTTAGCGAGCTGCATAATGTTCAATTACCTTTAAATGGATGCGCAATTTCGGACTATAAAGGATCACTTCTGTAACATTTATACCCTTCGTAGTCGCTGAACTCGTTGAAACTGGCTGGCCTCCTGAAAATGTTTTTGGCACGAATATGTTATTGGCTTATCGGCAATCTCAAGGCTGGCAGTTCCAGCGGAATATGCAATTAGCTCACTGCTGGTTGTTGGAATAACCGAAGGGTTATTGTAACATTCCCGAAGGTTCTCCTTAGCACACCGCTTCATAACTAAACATCGCAACTGTACCAGTACCGCGCTATCTCATATAGAGCACGCAAAGGTCAACAGTCACACGAAGGTCAACAGTCATGGGAAGTCAATAGTTGCGACTGTTTACCACCCCGCAACTGTCGTCAGAGGTTACACGCTGCAACCCAGTAACTGTCGAGGATAGCAATAATCACAGTTACTGTAGCAATGCAAGGCAGATAACAAGGGAATGTACCCCTCAGAGTACATGGCTAGCTATGAATGTTATCTAAACCTTTTGTAATTCTATCTTCAATCATGTTCTTTCTCAATTATTACTAACAAGGTCATTACAAGACTTCACTGTCTTCCTCACAACTTGGCTAGCCCTATCCTATCCACGACGATTCTTGGTTATACCAACATGGTATGAGAGCACGGTTGGATAATAAGGTCTGTCAAGTTCCTGTTCTTCCGAGAACAACTCTTTATTAACTTATCCATTACAACACCTGTTACAAGTCTGCATCACTATGGCTCCTGAAGAGAAAGCTACTGCAGACTCTCCGGGCCCACCAACAGCAACAACTAATACAACGTCAGCGGTGACATCCGTCAGCGCCGCCCTCGTTGAGCAACTCGTCGCACGCATCAACGCTCTTGAGAGCCATCAAGCGATGAGCATCGACGGCTCAAGCTACGCTAGAGGAGTTGCTGGACTTCCTCTCCCAGGAGAAGACCGTCGCGTCAACTCCGAGAGGTTCTTCACCTTTGACAACCGTCAAGCTTCAGCTCCTGCGCACGACAATCAACAACGTGCACAATCAGAATCAATAGCGACTATGCAACATAAATTAGTAATGGCATCAAAGCTGAAGACTTCAACCACATTCAACGGAATAGATTTCTACATATTTCTATACGTGGAGCTTCGAATTTGAACTCCTCGCGACGACCGCGCAGATCTGGATGTACTACGATGGGAGTCTCACCTTTCCGACGGAAGGCACTCCCCAAGAGAAGAACCAGTACTACCACGAGTCTCTCCTCACGTACACCGTTCTTCTCCGCAATCTCTCCCCCTCCGAGCAGCTCGGTATTCGCTCCTTCAAGACGTAGTGGGCTCCCACGCAAGTGTCTTGGGAATACCTGCGCAACTCATACGTGGTAACAGATCCAGTCAACATGAGTCGTTTGTTAAGCCAGCTGACATCTGCCAAAATGTTTCAAGGGGAGAAAGCGGGTCCGTATACCAATCGCTGCCACAATCTGCGCGACCAGTTTAAGAAATGTGGCGGAAGCGTCCTTGGCAATATGTTCGTCACCAGAGTCCTCTCCGGACTAGGGCCAGAGTGGCGGCAGTGCAAGTCGCTAGTTCGCACTCGAGGAGCCAACTCCGAAGCCGCCCTCTGCGCCAGACTCCTCTCCGAGCAGCTGGAGATCGACCTGTACAACGAGAAAAACAACAAACGGGAAAAAATCGTATTCTAGTCTGGTGCAACTGAAGAGGAGTCACACAAGAAGAAGGGAAACTTCTGCAAGTACTGCAAGAAACCGGGTCATACTATGGATCGATGTTTCAAGCGAAAAGCTGCTAACGAAAGGCGCAACTACAACTCACCTGGTCAACAACCATCGGTGCCTCCTTCAACACCAGCCGCAGCTGCGACCGTGTCACCACCTGCCGTCGCAAGCACTTCGCAAGCTCCTTCACGCATCTCATCCAAGGACAAGGGAAATGGGAGAGTCTTAAGCTGCATGGCGCGTCGTAGAGGCATTCGCTACTACGACGGGGTTCAATACCCGACAATCACGCCAGTCGAGCCTATCACGCCAAGTCTAAACTATGATCCTACAATTGGACTCCGGAGCGACAGGCCAACAAATGTCCCACCTAACTTCGATTTGCCTCCCAGCACGCCCGAGTCTCCTTCCGGCTTCCCCGCGAAACATGAGAACGACCTCTTGAGCTTCTACGTTGATCTTGACTGCATCATTACTCCGAAGATCGCCAGCATCGCGCGACGGAGCCACGACAACTTCAATAAGTGGTACCTTGACAGGTGGTGCGGAAAACACATGGTAGGGTCAATGACATACATTAACAACTCGAAGCAGATGTGACGACCGTGCGAAATCACCGTCGCAAACAACAATCGAGTGCAGGCCTATGATATTGGAGAAGTTTGCCTGGAATCAAGCGACGCCAACTTCACCATCCATATCGGAGATGTTCTAGTCGTCGCCGACCTTCAGTTTAACCTCCTCTCTGCACAACTCATGAAATGCGGAGTTGACATTCGAAGCAACAGCGAGAAGAAATGCTTCGAGCTATTCTATAAAGGGACTTACATCAGGAAGGCGTCTGATGGAGACGGAGTCTTCGTCTTAAACTTCGAGTCGCAGGGGAATGTCAGTAGAGCTGCACTGTGAGATCCCCGATCGATCCTAGGGGGGGTTACAGGCGCGTTTGCCTGGGGGGTTATGGGCGCACTGACCCGCTACTGAAACAAGCCCTTTATCCCAATGGTCTAGTGGTTGGGATTCTGACATGGTATCAGAGGGGTCTCGGGTTCGAATCCCGGTGTATGCACATGTAGGCCGTTGCCACTGTGCTCAGTCCTGGGCCTCCCAGTGTGGGGGGGTGTCAGTAGAGCTGCACTGTGAGATCCCCGATCGATCCTAGGGGGGGTTACAGGCGCGTTTGCCTGGGGGGTTATGGGCGCACTGACCCGCTACTGAAACAAGCCCTTTATCCCAATGGTCTAGTGGTTGGGATTCTGACAGGGAACGTCGGCGACTATGAAAGGACGCTCTTGCTAAAAACAACACCCACAGAAACGCCGACTTGGGCGCATCCTGAAGAAACAGATCTTGAGCGTCCCGGACTTGATGGCCTCTGCCGCACCCTCGCCGTCCCGACCGCCTCAACCTCTACTCCTGGTGACTCCGGACCTGCATCAATGGAAGAAGAAGAGAGCGAAGCGTCCGCTGAAGAAGAAACAAAAACACAAGTCAACACGAGAGGCTAGAGAACTACAGGAACTCCAACCCCTGGATGGGGCACCAATATCATGGTAGGAGCATGGGGGCAAGTCGAAACTCCGCCAGAAACTGCAGGGGGCTGGGGCCCGCCGACGTTTCCGCCAGGAGTTCCCGCCGAAGGTGGCTGGGGACCACCGGGCCCTTATCCCGAAGCTCCGACACTTCCTCCTGAAACCCTGGCGGAAGTTGACCCATACTGGGCGACGCGAGGTACCAGCTGGGGTGGACCTCCTCTTCCATATCAATATCCTTACGAACCTGCAGAAGAAGAACAAGAAGAGTAAGAAGGGATGATACGATTTTGGAGAAGCAGCAGAGTTACCCGAACCTACTGAGGATCCGTCGCTGCTAGAAGGACCTCACCCGATCTCAGTCACCAGCGACGAGTACCTCTACCATCGAATTCCCATGGAGGGAGTTCCCATTTCCAAATGGCCCGACGCAACGTCACCTCAACAGCTCCTGGCAGTCACCAACGACTCCATCCACGCCGCCGACACGACCGACATCATCGGCATCTCCAAGGCCGAGCCAGGGCCTTCGTTGCTGACGTGCGCGCCGCCACTGTCAAAGGACCTGCAACACCACAGCAAGAGGAAGAAGAAAGAAACAGATATTATAAGAGAACGGTCGCCTATCGCGCCACTCCTGGCATCTGGCACCAACGGCTCGGACACCCTTTGCATGCAACACTTAAAAACTCAATCGTTGCCGAAGTCTTTGACACGAGCGGACTACTTGCTCGTTGGCTTTAAGCAGCACTCATGAGCTCGAAGGCTTTAAGTAGCACTCACGAGGTCGATGGCTTTAAGCAGCACTCACGAGCTCGATTGATTTAAGCAGCACGTTGCCTCCATGAGAGTGGGCAATCACGTGGATGCGCGCTGAGGGGTCGCAGTGCGCTATCACGTCCAACAGCCGCGCCAGCTGTGGCGGGGAGAAGGCGGCGGGGCGAGGAGATGGGGAAAAGGGGGGGGTGGGGGGGAAGGGGACACCCGGCGGCGACACACTCAAAGTTACATCAGCAAATCCACCATGCACTGTCTGCCCGACTACATCACTCTCTCACCAGCCCTTCCCCGACTTACCTCCAGCTATGAGAGATACGAACCACTCAAGAAAGTCTACAGCGACTTCATGATTCTGAGCCAAGAAGGGCTTGTCGGCAAACAAAACACCATGACGTTCATTGACGCCAGCACGCGCTACGTCTCAGCTGTTAACATCGACTACCGCTCACGCTCCTTTGACTGCTTTGTAACCTAGATGCCAAGCGTCAATCTGGACTAAAGCTGAAAAGCTTTCAAACAGACGGGGGTTTGGAGTATTTCTCCAACGAGTTCAAGGAACTCTTTGTCAAGAAGGAATCGAACACCTGGTGTCCCTGCCATACGCACACGAGAAACAGGGAGTAGCAGAAAGGACAAACAGAAGCCACGCCATAAGAATGTGAGCCCTCATAAAGCAGTCTGCCATCCCAACAAGGCTCTGG